CCCGAGTCTCCGGGATTAATAGACTAGTGTTATGAAGTCATACACTACGATAAAAATTTAAGTGTGGGGTGGCTCGCGAGTAGACCATGTATTGTTCTTTGATTCTAATATTAAGAAAAGACGAGGTGAAGTCTGAGTAACCTCGGAAAGTCGGAAAAAAATTTATGTGTGTAGTGTGTAATGCAGTTTTATCTGACTACTGCTTATTTGTGTAGGAACAACGATGCCTCCCAGAAAAGACACAGGCAAAGCCAAGGCTACTTCCACTGCGCCGGCTAAAGTAAAGGCGACCTCAACACCTCCCCCAAAGAAGAGAAAAAGGGGGGAAGCTACCTCCAATCCAAGCGGAGTACAAGCTGTAGCAGCTATAGCAGCTATGCGTCAACAACCACAAGGCCAACAGGATTTTGGCATCAATAACATACCACAGCATACTAAGGATTGGTACACGCGTTGTAGGCCTAAACATGTACACCCGGAAGCAGCTATCAATGAACGCAGCTTGAAAGCAAAGTATCAGGCAATTTGGATGGGCATTCAGGATATGGGGTTGAGCTATGTATTCAAGAACACAGGGAACATTAATCTCAACTTAGTCCGAGAATTCTATGCAGGGTTTGATCTGCAGAGTACTGAACAGTTGGTGCCGATTCGTGGCGATTGATAGATATTTCACCCACGGCCATATGCAACTTTTTAGGTGCTCCAGATGTTCCTGTGGAGCCATTGAACCACTTCATTCGCCGGCCTACATACAGAGAGTTGAGACACATGCTTTGTGGTGCCGATTCTACGACAGCATGGGTCCGGGATAAGATAACTAATCGGCACACGAGGTTTCCCAAGAAGAAGATGAAGACGTTGCTTGATCAAGGAGTTTCTTTACACCGTACTCATTTTTCGTGTTTTGTCATTTTGTGCATGCACTGAGGACAATGCATGATCTAAGTGTGGGGTGGGGACTTGTACATGTTTAATTTTAGTCATTTAGTTATTTAGTGTTAATTGTTTTAGTGCCATTAAGAAAAAAAGTTTAACTCATCCTGATGATGGATCTCCTAGACAGTTTTATTGAGGGAAGTAAGTCAAAAGAAAATACCAAAAAGATTTTTTGTGTGCAGGCATTGTAGTAATTCCCCCTTGATTTTTCTTTGGGCCACGGTTCTTTTTCAGGAGCTTTTAGTTGAACCGGGCGTAGTTAGTTCTAATTTTTAGGAGTAGGAACCACGAAGCCATGCATTTAATTGTAGCAATATCTCTTAGCTTTGTTATGCCTTGAGAATAGTTAGTACTATGATTGTGACGCTTAGGCTCGATTTTTGATTCTCACATAAGTACCTTAATTTGTAGATTCCTAATTCTGCTTAACTGCTTTGACTGGAGTGTCGCGATGAAACCAATCCTGAGTGAGTTATGTGCCATGCGTGTGTGAGTTTTGTATGTATTCTGTGCATTGCATTTGATGTCTAGAACTTGCCCTCTGTGTGTGCAAAGCGAAATAGTAGTCTTGTTCAGTCTGAGAAGTGATATAGGCGTTTCTTTGTTAAGCCAGATATATAAAGTTTACCACCCTAAATGTTATGTATCGTAGTTAACCCCGTTGAGCCTATAATTTTGTTTCTTTGGTAACCACATTACAAGCCGTACACCTTTATTTTAATCGATCATATATTTGAACCTTTTCACTTCTCATGAGCACTCGAATTGTTATGAACTTTGTAAAAGTTAAAGTATGGGGTGGTTGGTTCGGCTTTTGTGTGGAACTAATGAAATAAGGAGAAATGTGCACTGTTTTAAAAAAGTAAGAGCCACTTGAATTGAAAAAGAAAGAAAAGAAAAATTAGCTATATTGTAGTGAAAAATATTCCTTGATAGTGGTGACTCTTGATGTAATTGTGCTTAAAGAAATATGGAGTTAATATAAATTGAAGTGAAGGTGGAATGTTTGGTTTGGCACAAGTATGGTATATGTGTTAAAGTATATGTATTGAAGTGCTTAAGGGAGGTGTAGTCACTCATATCCAAATGTATCCTACTCGACCCGCAGTCTACATTATAACCAATGAAAGTCCCACTTGATCTTAGACTGAATGAACTCGATTAGTAGAGTATTACACTACGAGCAAGCCTATGGTGCATCATTTGTGGCATATGAATGTTATTTCTGAGAGCGAGTGAATTTTTTCTATCTTGAGTTCCTATGTTCTTAAAATTCATTATGTATGGAACGAAACTCTTTGATTAGGTGAGGGCACATGATTCATAAAGAAAAGGTAATGTTGTTGACATCCATGTCAGAGTAAGTAAGTAAATTTTGAATAAGGCATGTCAGAGTAAGTAAGTGAATTTTGAATAAGGCATGGTATTTGTGAGTCGAATCTTGAGGCGAGGATGTCACACTTGTGTGCTTAAACTATTTTAAAAATTCTTGATGTAATGAGTTAGGAGAATTGCTTTAAAATGTCGTATCTATAAGTGTAGTTTGATTTCTCGAGGACGAGCAATGTTTAAGTATGAGGTATTGATGTGTGGCTATAATTTCATAGTTTCGTACATTATGTGCCTTGCATTTACATGCTTTAATGATAAATTGCACTTTATTTGTGCATAATAAAGTCTATTTTATGTGTAGGTGAATTGGAGATGAAAGTAGAGCAAAAGGGATACTTAAACGTTAAAAGTGTGCTCGAGAACAGTGAAAAGGAGAGACCTGGCGAGGCCAGCCAAAGGCCAGGATGGACCAGGCTTTAGCCTGGCGAGGCCAGCCTAATTCCAGGCGTTAGGCTGGTGACGCCAGGCCTAACGCCAGGTCCAATCCGAGTTTTGAAGACTTAATTCGTTCCGGGTTTGACTAGGACTCGGCCCACACGTTTAGGGTTTCTTCTACACATATAAATAGACCTAAAACACCATTTGGAAGAACGTTTTTTCAGCAGCCAAGAAGGGACTTGGGCAGCCAGAGGCAAGCAGAGCTGGTGGAATCAACTCTTGGGAGTTAGAATTATCATTTCTACATCTTTTCATCTTTACTCTGTATTTTAATTATACAAAATGTTTGGGATATTGTTACTATGAGTATGCGTAGCTAACTTCCTAATCTAGGGTGTTGATGGGACCTATTGAAGGATGATTTTCTTGTTACGTTAATATAGATTTGCCGTAGTATTTTCTCTATTTGTTCAACTATATTATTCTTGTGGTTGATTGAAGGGCCCTCAATTAGCTGTGCCTATTTAGTATGTATTACTCGGGAGAGAGTGCATATTTAGGTAGTTGTTAAACAACATCATTCCTAAGCGTATATGAGGGATCAATACAGAGGTTTAAATGTGGGTTTAGGGATAACGAAACCTTGATGCGATCTGAGTGAGCTATACTTAATGCCAGCTAGCGTAATTCGGGAGAATATGCCTAGTAAATTGTGGTAATTACTCGGGAGAGAGTTACGACAGTTAGAGTGCTCATGGTCGATAGAGAAGACTTAAGCAAATTTGTAGAAAACGTAGCAGAAAAGATTCCAACAATAAGGGGAATCACAACCTTAGATCATTCAATTCTTGTTTACAACTTGTTCATAGTTATCTGTTAATTATTACATTTTCATTACGTAATATTTAGTTAATAAAATCCAATCTGCTACTTAAATATTTTCTGAAGATTGGTTGTGTGAATTTGTGTGAGTCTAGTAGCTGTGTTTGATAGGTTAATTCCTTGTGGGATTCGACTCCGAACTTGTAAACCTGATTATATTTACAACGATCGCTTAGTCCTTTTTATAAGGCATAGTTGGGCGTGATGAGTAACCTTGTAAGATTGGAAAAATAATAACCTCATAAGACGATGATACAATACAAATGAATAATCTTTCAAGAAGTTACACTTTCTCGTTAAAGGAAGAAAAAGGAAACAATTCACTTTAAAAATAAAATTGATTCGCTTTGCCTATATGGTATAGTTGAAATATTTAATGTTAGGTGCTCCAATAATAAAAATGGTCCCACATATAATTTTGATATTTAGATGCTAGCGAGTTACGTCAATCAATAATCAATAATAATAATAATAATAATAATAATAATAATAATAATAATAATAATAATAGTAGTAGTCACGAGTTATATAGCATGATTTAACAAAGTTGGGTAGTGTGATTTTGGCATAGCCTATAAAAAATTGATAGAGCATTTTATTTCACTTAGGACCTAAGTCTAAGTTTGGTTGTTTCTTGGTCAATGTTGGGAGTCTTATTCTTTATGGTCTACAAGTCAAACATAACTAAAAAAAATAACAATAATCATGTTTCAATTCCAAATAAATTATTGCCGGCAATATAAATTCTCATTGATACGTTACCTCATTTTAATTAAACATAAATCAAAACTTAATGATAAATAAACATAAAACTTTATTGAACCAATACACTTATATGGATTTAGTAACCATTATTAGGCTAAAATTTCATTACATAGTATTAAAAAGAACGTATTTAAACTCAAAGATCGAGATCATATTTTATTTGAAGTTAAAATTTATATATATAAGTGTGAGGTATCCAAGAGATACCTTAGGTACAGCCATCTCCAATTTTATTTGAAGTTAAAATGTATGTATATAAGTCCCTTAGGCACGTACTCGCTCCCTTAGGCATGATGTTCTTTTGTGGAAGACTTGTGTGATAATTATTATTTACTTACTAAACCCCTACAAGATTAGTATATAAAGTGAGTTATTTATTTGTAATTTATAAGTAAAGCAATCAAGTTTTCTATAATAAAAAGTTTACTTGCCAAATTTATTCCGTATATAACCCACAAGTTGTACAGTAAAAATGCATTTAAGAACATCTGAAGAAAAACTAAATTACAAAGCAAAAAAGATTATTTAAATATTCAAAATAATAACTGTGAAACAAAAATATAATAGAGAAAATAGTAGTAGGACTATAGGAGTAAAGTATTTTATAAGAAAAATATTAGGTTGATTATACTTTAATCTATCTTATTCTTGTTCCTGAATATTCAGAAAGACCAGTCATTGTAAAAAGTAGTCATCAGAATTTCCTTCCTATTGTTTTTCCGCCGGAGTTTCTTCGCCGGCGAAGTTGACCACTAGTTCCCGTCGGCCTCTTACCTCCTCCTCCGATCTCCTTCTCCGGCGAAATCCACTTGTAAGTTCCGCCGCTCTCTCTCTCTCTCTCTCTCTCTCTCTCTCTCTCTCTCTCTCTCTCTTGATTTATACATAACAGCTAACTATTATGGTAAAATACGAATTGAAAATTCAGTTGAGCATTCCATTGTATAAAGAAAAACATTGAACTCCGATTTATGTAGTTTCTTTGTGATTTTTACTAGTTATTTTGCTGGCTTACTTACTTCACCTGTGAATAGTGGCTATTAAATTCCGATAATGTTCCATAGGAAATGGAATACTTGTCCTTCCAATCTGCCTAAACCTTGGTGGGTAGTGTTACTTGTACCTGTGCTGGTGGCAGTTAGCACATACCCGGTGGAATAATCGAGGTGTGCAAAAGATGGCTCAGACCCTACCATTATAAAATGAAAAACAAAAAACAAAAGGAAAATAGAAATGTAGTAGTAGATTCTTTCTATCTGCGTAAGCCTTGGTGGGAAGAAGTAGCTAGTACTTGTATTGATAGGAGTAGCAGGTACTTGGTGGAGTAGTCTTCATCAAAAAAAAAAAAAAAGTACTTGGTGGAATAGTCGAGACACCCTCCATTCCTACCATAATCAAAAGGAAATAAATGAAGCTTCTAGTGTTTGCTTCAGCAGATATTTCACAGCAAAGCAGTGTTTGCTTCAGCAGATATTTCACAGCAAAGCAGTTGCAGATAAATTATTTGAGTATAGATCTTTGTATCTAGTTAGCCTTTTTGACAAAAATGAAAGATGTATACAATATAAATGGCCCTTTGGAGTTCCTTCACACTCTACAGGATCTGTAGGATACTCTGTTATTTTTAATAACCGCACTTTATATGTATCAGCACTCTCTATCGCTGTATCAATAAAATCTTGATATTTATCTTAGAAAAAGAAGAAAAAATTGTTCACGGGCCATATTTAAATTCAAAATTCGTGAGCCAACAGAACAATGATACAGGTAATGTAAAAGCCCCTGACGTATGGTGGATGATGAAGATAAAAAATTAGGCATAGATTCAAAATCAGAATCTGAAAACAATATTTTTTGAGATTCTGATAGAAGCTACCATGCACAGGACTAATATTTTTTGAGAGCCTTATTTAACTTCAGTACATAATAATAGGAGGGAAATGCAACCTAGCCACCAGAGCAAGTAAAGCAACATTATAAAATATTTTTTTTTTAAAAAAGAAGGAAAAATAAATGGTTGTCCTTCCGATCTGCCTAAGCCTTGGTGGGTAGAGTTATCTTGTACTGTGCTGGTGGGAGTTAGTACCAATCTGGTGGAATATCGAGGTGTGCAAAAGCTGGCTTAGACACCCACCATTATTTTTGAAAAAAAAATCAAAAGGAAAAGAAATGGAATAGTTGTCATTGTATGTTGATTTATCTACAATGCGATAAATTCATTACTTTCAAGTTGTTTAGCAGATCCTCCTAATTTCAGTTTAGAGCCATTGGAAAACTAAGCATTTTATATCAATAATTTGAAATACCCCTTAAACCCAAATTCCTTCTATTAGACCCTTGACATAATTCTAGTGTGCTGGAAAACTTGATGATTGATACATCGTAAGTACTTTTCTTTTTTCTACCAAGATTATGATTATTAGAGATTGTTTGCATGGACTGTAGCGTCTTTTGATATAATGGGATGCAGGGTAAATAGAATTCTTGGTTCTATTATGAGTTTTAGCGTGGTCAAGTCTCAAAGAGATTTAAATTTGGTATTTCATCGAAAAGAAATGTAAAACTTGTAATCAGTTTCTTTCCCTTGTTCTTGAATTCACACTCTATGAACAAATGACCCGCGTGGCGCCCCATTGCTAAATTACATGCTGTTTTTTGGTGTAGAAGTGCGAATTTTGGCCATTCCATTTAGAAATTAAAAAATTACTCATTGTTATAGCTAGATATGAAAGACATCGATTGTTCAAGACATTCGTACTATTATTTTCTAGCTATACACTGGACTTCTCTTCATGCTCAGTCGAGATGGTAAACCTGTCAAGTCCATACCCTTCTCCAGGTCAAATTGCCTCTACTAAGAGGAGGATGCATCAATTTCCAATCCGAGTCGAAATAGAGAAATGTTTCGTTGTTGCATTAATCTCCTTCTTCCCATGCATTAAAAAAACCTAGCTATGTTGAAATTCTCACCGATGCACCAAGCTTTAGTCTTTAGACCACAAACCTTGTGAATCAGAAAGCTCTTCCCATAAAGCAGTAACAGAGTGATCTATAGGCCTGTAGGCTCCACTCTCCAGTAAGAATCCATGTATAATCATCCACAAGATTTATGATTAAACTTGATACAGAATACGAAAGAATCAAATAATCAATAAAGTGAACAATTCTGCAACTGACTTTGAGCTTCAAAATGCCCTAGAGTTCCTGAGATACATTTGAGGTATGCTAGAGTTGGATATCTGGAGACAAGTACCCAAATAGTTTGAGTTTTCTTTCTTTTGGTTGCTGCTTTGACCTTTTATGTTGAACTATCAAGTATTGACTCCTCAAACAGTGTGAGAGAGAATGTAAACCCATAAGATAAGGCTAGAAGAAGATTGTCTAACAGATGCAATGCATTATAAGACCACATAATCAGTCAATCATCTCTTGCTCCATCTTGACGTTCCTCAAGATATTTGGAGTGTGTTAAGTTCAGTGGTGGGTATTCATTGGGTAGTGGCATTTAAAACGAATTAATTGCTGCCTGCATTGGTTCTAGGATCCGAAGGGCACAACAAAAGTGGTGGAAGTTAGCATTAAATTTTTATGGACTATCTAGAAAGAAGGAATACCAGGCGTTTCAAAGATGACAAGGCAGGAGTGCAGTTTGTGAGTCTTAGAAGTTTGCTTCTGTTGCAATCATGCTTTAAAGAAATCACATAATCAGTCAATCATCTCTGACATATCGTTAACACATTTTTGTCTGCAGAATGAGTTCCTCTTCTTTTTCCCCCCTCCTTTTTAATCGTTTTTAATTCTTTTGCACTAGTGCAGCTTTTATGTTATCATTATAATCGAAGATTTGCACTAAGAGCTTCTGATAACCACTCTGAATCAGTGGTTTCCGGTAAATTTCGTCGCTATCCACTTGGCTATAGAGTTTTATTCATGAACCTTTGGGTCTTATATTATGTCATTGCTTCTCTTTTCTCATTTCAGCTAAAGGAGATGGGTATATACCTGAGTACTCCGAAAACAGAGAAATTTTCAGAAGATGGTGAGAATGTTAAGGTTAGATATGGTTTATCATCAATGCAAGGATGGCGAGCAACTATGGAAGATGCTGTGAGTAATCAGTAATGATCCCATCTACTTTAGCAAATATATTGTAGTATGTAAGTTTGTCAAATAAAAGAAATCATATTTTCTCATTCAGTGATTTGTTAGTGTATTTATGCCATAAGGAAAAATGATTTTAGTGCACCCAAGGGTGTGGTCTAGTGGTTAATAAATTGGATGGAGAACCATGAGGGCTCAGGTTCAAATCTAGCAGCGACAAAAAAACTATGTGATCTCTTCGCATTTGCTAAAGCCTAGGTGGGAAGAGATACCCGATATCTGTGTTGGTGGGAGGTAGCAGGTATGCGGTGGAATGGATGAGGTGCGCGCAAGCTGGCCCTGACACCACCGTCGTAAAAAAGAAAAAGTAAAAAAAGTAAAATGATTGTAATACTAAAAGAGGAAACACACACTCTAATAGTCTATGCTTTTTACAGCTTTCGGTGTAGGAAAAGATTAGCTTGTAGCCTGTGTTATTACGGATCCTAAGCATGAGACCATGAGTTAAGGGTATAATCATCTCCATAATTCATGAATAAAGGACTCCTTTAAGCTCTGTTTGATTCTCGTATCTCTATCCATTCTTTTTCTCTGGAGTTATGTAATTCGGCACAATCAGTACTAGCAGAGTTTTCTATCTATATAGGAGTATTTACAAACTTCCTTTTTCTTTGCGTACTTCCTCTATGAGAACTAATCAACTCGTTATAAGCTGGAAATTTGTGACTGTCTGACTACTTTGTAATGTGCTAGTTCTCAATCGCGTTTTCCTGATTCTTAACCATTTCTAGCAACCCAAACTACTTGTTTAAGGCCTTCCACGAAAGGAGATAAAGAACCAAATAAGTGATAGTTGGAAGAATCTCTCTGTGGAAAGATTAGATTATTTAGGACGTTCTATTATGTGATAGTTGTTCGCTTCTCTTGAGTCGAGGGTCTTCCGGAAACAACTTTTCTACCGTCATAAGGTAGGGGTAAGGTCTGCGTACACTTTACCCTCCCCAGACCCTACTTGTTGTTGTATTATGTGATAGTTGGGAAGGGGAGTTCACATCCGCTTAAACTATGATTTTATTGTGCTTTATATTTGTTTGGTACACGGTACATGTATTGTAGCTACCTTGGGAGTACCTTTCATATGTAATGTATGCTTCTGTTTTGCAATACATGCTCAGCGTCTGTGTTATCATAGTATATAAGCTATGGAAAGATTCAGCTTGATGTGTGATGTGAACTTTATTTTGATCTAACTATTGCCCTCATTTATTTAGCATGCAGCAATTACTGACTTGGATGCTTCCACTTCCTTTTTTGGTGTCTATGATGGTCATGGAGGTAGGCAGTGACTATATATGCATCATTAAATGGGAAAACTTTATTTTCAGATATCTGACAAATTTAATAATTAAAGCATGTGTGGTTGAGTTAAGGTAATATTAGCTTACGAGGTTATCCGCTCTAAATGAATTATTCATGATATGACATCTATCCTATTCATGTCTTCAGTAAATAGATGATATTGTCCATTTAAAAGTATATCCTAGAGATATATCTGGTCTTGCTAGCATATGATTATCTTATACTCTTTTGATGAATTATGTTTTTAATGGTGTTGAAGATATCCTGCATATTTGGATATACTATGAGATAAATCTGCTGATGGATGATGTTTCTATTGAGTCCCACATCGACAATGAAAGGGATGGGTGGTCTCCTTATATGGACTTGGGCAATCCTCACGTCTTGAGCTAGCTTTTGGGTCCGAGTTAGGCCCAAGGTCCATTTATCATGGTATCAGAGCAGGACCCATCCTGATTTTCTAATGTTGGGCCCCCATAATTGTCCACGCTCCAGATGTCCAGTCACGCCAGAGAGGGTGTTGAGTCCCACATAGACAATGAAGGGGATGGGTGGTCTCCTTATATGGACTTGGGCAATCCTCACCTCTTGAGCTAGCTTTTGAGGTTGAGTTAGGCCCAAGGTCCATTTATCAGTTTCATGTTGTGACGTTCCTTTGGTGAGAATGGCATTTGTACATTGGGTGGTGTTTAGCTTGTTATACATGCTCAGTGGAATGTTTTGTATATTTCCCATCTAAATTTGCTGTCTTCTGCTTTTTATTTGTTCAACTTATGGTCTAGGAGTTTTTTTTGGTTTTTATGTAATTGAAGTATATCTGTTTTGGAAAACTGGAGGTTAATTTGTCGGCTAGAGTTCAGGGGAGAAGCTCTTATTTCACTTGACAGTTCCTTTTAAACCATGGTCACTTTAATCCCTGTAACTTTTGGTGCACTAGAAAGATAAATTAGGCTAGTAATGTGCATTGTTAAAGATGTCTTGCATAACCAATATGCTACCTTTGTTATATATGAAATAACTGAACCATTTATACATTTCAGGTAAAGTTGTTGCTAAATTTTGTGCCAAGTATCTACATCAGCAAGTGCTGAAGCATGAAGCATATCTGCATGGAGATATTGGAACTTCAGTCCAGAAAGCCTTTTTCAGGTGATTTTCTTGTAGTTTTGGTTCTATAACTGGCTAATTAATAAACTGTACTCTGCTGCATCTTTTAGCATCGATTACTGAGTTTCCATATATGTGAAAAGATTCATGTCAACCTTATTCCAGACTTTCAGTTTGCCTTTTGTCTTTATATATTAACATGATGTATGCTTTTTGGATGGATGAATTGAATTATTTCTACCTGTCTGCTTAAACTAATATCTTCTGAAACTAATAGATGACACCTAGTTGACTGCATCTGCATTTTAGTCCTTATATTCTTTTTAGGCCAAATACGTAGACGGCCCCTTAAACTTGGCTCCAGTTTCCATTTTGACACCTCAACTCATGTTAGTACCTATTGAACACTGCAAAACCAGTGTTCTTCACCGCGCATGAATGGGTCTCAAATTAGATTTTTCCTTTTTCTTTTCCAAAAAATCACATCTTTTCTTTCTCTTTCTCTTTCCTCATCTCTCGCGCGACCAACTCAGCGTTCTCCTTCTCCCTCCTCTCTCCCTACAATCACTACTACCACTGCTACTCCTTAAATAATCCACTAATCAATTATAATGATAGCAAAAAATTTCTGTTCTAACAAAAAGAACAACAAATAAAATAGAAAAATAAATTGCCCATGGCATTACATGAACAGAATAACACTGGCAGCCAAACTAGTGTTCACCGGCATGTGCGAATCTAGTAAGGCCCAAGGGAGTGGTATGCCACCCGCAAGCTTCGGTCGAAACTCTGTATATATAATGTATATATATATGTAAGAAATCACATATATATTTAAAGCGCCACTCGTAGTAACAGATGATACAAAGGTGCTAGTGGCAAAGGGTAGGAGATTCCACCTTGGTTGTGAAGGATCTAAACCCACTGGCAATAGTTTTTTAACCTTTTGGCTTGCTACATCACGTTAAGCTTTCTATCATTCTATATATTCCGTTCTTTTATTTTTTCTTCTATAATTATTGTTAACTATCTTACTTTGTTTGTTAACTTTTGACATTCTTTTTGTGTCTCTTATTAGTTAAGGTATTTGTTTTTTCACACAAAGTCAAAATAGCATTTTCTTTTGCAGATCTTCGCTTTATCATAACTATAGTACTATATTTTTCCGTTCAATCGATTTATATTATATACCAAAAAAATAAGTAACCCGAACCGAAGTCCAAAGTTGCTCAAACCGACAAAATATACTCTATCTCAATGTATAAACAGCGACACATGGACGTTCAAAGCTACAAGGCACCCGGAAGCTCCAAATCCTGGATCCTCCACTGTTCGCCGGTAATGAAAATTCCGGCGAATTCTAAAATTTAACTATCATGGCCAAGCTCATCCTCCTTTCTCTTTGTATTTCACAACGGCCATCTTTTCTTTTTCGAAATCCTTATAGCCTTCTCCTTAAGATTTGGGATCAGAGCTTCTTTACTGCAGAAAATAGCTTTTTGTTTTACCAATTTTCAATTCATTCCTCATTTCTCTATTTATTCTTTTTGGTTAGATTAAAAAAAAGAGGTTATTAATTGTATTGGTAGAAGGATCTAACAATCGTGTCTGAGGGATGAAGGTGGGTCTGGCAAGAGGAAGATGTNGGTAGATATTAAAAGGCTGGAGACATGATGGCGGCTGCAATGGGGGTTATGGAAGAAGTCTTGTTTCTTCTTTTGTTTTCTTTCCTTTTTTTTTTTCCTTCCTCAAAGGTCTTTTTTTAAATTCAAAAGCCATGTGGCATTTTCTGATTCGTCCATTTTGCCACGTCACTGCACGTGTAGTTCACGCGGCTGGACTTACTTGGGTATTTTTCGTGAGGTGTTCAATAGTTACACTTTTATTGGAGTTGGAGTGTTCAATAGGTACTAGCTTGAGTTGAGGTGTCAAAATAAAAACTGGAGCCAAGTTTAAGGGTTTGTCTCGGTATTTGGCCTTCTTTTTATTACTCCTGAAACCTAAGTTCTTTTGTTGGTTCTCCAATGGTGATTATCAGCTGTCACGTCGCATCCTTGACATTCAGATAGAAAACCTAAGTTGCATTGGTAGTCATTACTTCGATAGAAGGAACAAAAATGAAAGCTTTAAAAGTAATAAGCTGTAATCTAAGCTGTTAGACCTGGCTTCATTTATCTCCTCACTTAAAACCATGGATCGTATGATTTTCACTGCATGACTGTCCCAATCTCCGTCACCCCGTGAAATTCTGCCTCAACATTAAGTATTAAGCATGAAAAACTTCAATATATTTAGGGCTGACTAGGTTATCTGTCAGATATATAACGCTTATTTTGGATTAACACCATTTGATTAGATTAGCAGAACAACAATCTCTAACTAGTTTATCTCTGCCCCTCCTTTCTTTTTGCTGTTGCTTTTTCGTGTCTCTCCCCCTCGATATTTGATCTATTCTACCTGTTCTAGATTGCTATGGTCAAGATATAGACAGAGAAAACTCTCCTCCTCTCTATGAATATTGAAATTGAATAGTAAATACCAGGCTAGATAGGTCGGACGAAGCAGCAAAGACTCAACTTTACTAAGGATAACCTAGTATATGGGGAAGTCATCGTTCCCATATCGATTTGGAAGTCAATACCTTCGTATCCCTCTGTTCCCTGCCCCGTAACCCGTGCAAAAAAGACCTAAGAAAGAAATTCTATTTCGTTAATGCTAGTGTATATAAGCTTTATTGTTGTTTGTGCACATGTTTGACACAGAGAATAGAGAGGGTACTTACAAGAAAATAGAATTGTGAAGTGCCAAGAAACTGAGGAACGTTAAGAAGAAGTGCGTTGCTTAAGATGATATCAACTCCCCAGGCCGTTGTTAACCATTTTATAGCTAATAATCCTATGAATTCAGCTTGCCTAACCTTCCAGCAGAGATCTTTTGGTATGAAACGGTCTTAAAGTTGTAACTAAATGAAGATCTAAGTCATGCTTGCATTTTTTGCATTATGAGATCACTAATTCCCTTTTATGTTGCTAAGCTGTGTGTTGAAAGATTTTGTTCTGTTCTTGGTGCAGAATGGATGAGATGATGCGTGGTCAGAGAGGATGGAGGGAGCTGGCTGCGTTAGGGGATAGATTAAACAAGTTTACGGGTATGATAGAGGGTCTTATGTGGTCTCCAAGAAACGGTGATGGAAACGGCAATACTGATGATTGGGCCTTTGAGGAGGTACGTGCAGAAATTGGGATATAGTGTGATTTATTGCTTTCCTTTTGTTTTATAGTTGACATATCAATTTTTAATTAAGGACACGTAATTTCAATTCCCTGTCATTTCTCGTGGCACATTGGGAGGCGGGAGCTACCTGCATATTTCCATTGTTGTGCTCATTGATTGATTGTTTTATGGCTATGTGTTTGCTGTTATCAGGGGCCTCACTCTGATTTTCCTGGACCAACTTCTGGAAGTACGGCTTGTGTTGCAATCATTAGAGAGAACCAAGTCATTGTTGCGAATGCTGGTGATTCGCGCTGTGTGATTTCACGGAAGGGCCAGGTGGGATGCTATCTTCGAGTTAATTACTGTCTTTCCTGCATTCTTATACTTTTCTCCTTGGGTAGATATTTTGTATCTGAAGTCGTGTTCCGACAGGACAGCTCAGCATGCCATGGCACTGAACTTGCTAGAGCTGGGTCGTACTTTGTCATGCGCAGTCATGGATGCATTTGTTCTCGCAATGATGCATTGATTAACTTTTATGGTTTAATACCAAGCATCATGTGTCTTTGTGCAGGCGTATAATCTATCAAGGGATCACAAACCTGATCTTGAGATTGAAAGAGAGAGGATCCTGAAAGCAGGTGGTTTCATCCATGCAGGACGTGTTAATGGTAGCTTAAATCTTGCAAGAGCTATAGGTATTATGCTATTGTGTTTGTGAAACTATATTAATCTGCTTAAACACTAGCCAATTGAGATGCAGTTCGCAATGTCAGTAATGGAGCAAGATAGAAGCTGTAATTAGGATCTATTTTCTAAGTGGCAAATTCACAATTTAAACTTTTGGTTATTTAGGAATAGATGGGAAGAAAAGTATCTATTGGATGAGGTAGCTAGCATATTTTAACTTCTTTGCAGGTGACATGGAATTCAAGCAGAATAAGTTTTTGCCAGCTGAGAAGCAAGTTGTTACAGCCGATCCAGACATAAATATTGTATGTTCCTTAAATTCTTCATAAATCGTGCAATGTCTTCGATCATAATGTTAAGACATCTATTCTCTGAGAAGTTCTAATGCTATTGGATAGTGCATAATATTCTTTGTTCCATGTGTAAAACTGTCTCTATTTCAGCGTGTTGTCCATTTAGAGAGTTTTTTTCCTTTCTAAAAAAAAGGGAAGAGAACAGTCTCTAAATGACCAACACTCAGAAATAGCAATCTGTGGTAAATCATGCCGAATTTTGTAAATTGAAAGTGACCAAATGCCAATCCAACAATCATTGGATGCTCCGACTTATCATAAAGTTTATCTATGGAACTCCAACTGTTGATCAAATTTCATTATCCTGCTATTGCAGTAATTATTTTCAGCTCAGTTGTTAATAACCATGTGATGAGAAAAGATGGAATAGTTCATAAGGATCAAACAAGAATCAAATGCAAAGAGTGTCCAGGAAGATTGTTTGATCTGAGATGCTGCCTACTATGATCCTCCAGAACTGAGTTCCTTTAACTTTTGAAGCCGCTTTATATTTTCATCAGTTTGTGGAAGTAATACTCTAGTAGTTTAGGGGTTAAAAAATGCTGGTACAAGCCAGGTGTATATGTAATACTCGTAATATCTATTGAGTCTCCAGAGATCTCTATTGGGTCCTTATTTTATTGGAGTTGTGTGTTTATAGTAACTCTTTTGGACAAAGAACTCCAGAAGAACAAGCCATAGAACTGCTTCTTACAATTTATGGAAACGGAAATGTTAGATTTAGTCCGCTTTATCACGAGGAAAACCCCTCACTTGCCCAATGTCAATAAATGGGACAAGTACCTAAGTAGAGGCAGAAACGGTGAGGTTCCTACTTATGCCTCCATGAGAATCAAACTAATCTTCGATTTGGAATGTGCTCGTGAAAACTGAAGTCCGAACTATAGCTCATAAGCTAAGATTACCAGATCATTGATATTGCTTCTTTTTGAAATAATCTTCCCTGTTGTATATTATGCAGTTGAACTATTTCTTATCAATATCAGTCTATAGTTCAATGTATATTACTATTGGTGCTCTGTTCAAGGTATTTATAAAGCATATCCATTTTGTCAATCAAAGATAAAATCCCACAATGTAAATCTGTTGCATTGAAGATCCAACAGAAGAACAGCTTTGTTTGGAATCGGTCTTCTTTCTTGGTGATACATTTAACTTTATGATTTGGATGGAAGGGACAATATTGGTACGAACTGCTGAGAAATCACAAGTTCTGATCAACTCTGAATTGTGAAATAGTATTAATGCTGCATTGCTGTTCCTCTTCTCCTATATTTCTAAAGAACAGATTCTAACATTTTTTTGTTCTCTAATTAGGTTGAACTATGTGATGATGATGATTTTATTGTGCTCGCCTGTGATGGTGTGTGGTATGCTTTCTAGACTCTTTTTTTTTTCAATTTGAAAAGTCTGCTAGAATTTAAGACTACAACAAAGAAGAATAGATAGGCAGGAAATTTAAGATCATATCAAATTGAAAGAATATCATGCATGTTAACCTTTCCGATTCTAATAACAATGACCATCTTGTTGAGTTTCATAGTGTACCCTTTTGCTCCTTACATCTATCATTAGTGACTGACACCACGACAAGCTATTGTACTGGTAATAGATAGTTTGTTCCAAAGAGCCACTGCAAGTAGGACCGACACTACACCAGCAATTGTTGTGATGTAACTGAGCTGATTCTCAAGAATCGTACCCAGGGGTCATTTGGTTCAGGTATAAGATGAAAGTGAATTGTCATTATGCCATTGAATTATAATGAAGGGATAGTGTATGAGTTAAGAATTAGAATATAGGGTCGTACTGATAAGTGAGAAAATGACTTATTTGCCCCGTGTATGTGAAAGATGAAGGGAAAGGCTATTCCATTTTCCTCTGTCCTCCTTCCCCTTCTCTTTGATCTGGCTCTACTCCATTCCTGTGCAGCCTCTCTTCCCATGAGTCATAACTATACTGGTGAAGTCACCAATTCAGGCAGAATCTTCTCCCCCTCCCTCATCTAACCAAAACCCATGTCTAACCTTGATTTGCCCTGCTCTCCCCACCTCTTTGCGGGGCAAGCGCCTCTTCAACAAGAATATGCTTTGCTTCCATCTCTTTCTCAAACTTTTATTTTCTGAATTTTTTTTGCATTAGGGTAGGCTGCCTACATCACACCCCCTTGGGGTGCGGCCCTTTCCCGGGCCCTGCGTGAACGCAGGATGCTTTGTGCACCGGGCTGCCCTTTCTTTTCTTTTTTTCCCTCCATTCCAATTTGCTTGGTGATACTTGACAGCACACGATTTTTTTTAAAAAAAGAAAGACTTTTTCCATGTAAGTTTAAATTACATGAAGTACCAAAAGTAACCTCAGTATCAATAGGACAACATTCAATTTTTCATTGCGAAGGATGACTGACCTGTTACTTCATCTTCTCTTCTTCTTCTTCTTTCTTATTGTCCATGTGGTGTCTTGTTCTCTGTACTTCTCTTTTAATAAAAAAGTGACAATAAGTAATTCCTAGAACGTGTTATTGAAGGTAAAATGAGATTGTAAAAATTAAACAGTTTCTAGATATAGAAAAGTACCCATTTTTTTGGGAAGTAAAAAAAGGAAAAGATTCCATACAAATTGTGACAAAGGAGTAAGTATTTTGCTTGCTAATTTCATTTTTTCTTTTTGGAAATTTCAGTTGCACATCTTTTTAGTTCTTCGGTTTTATCTTTTTGTTTGTTTACAATGTTCCATCCTTTTCTTGCTCTAACAGTTTTTTCATTTCCCCAGCCAGCATATTTGAAAAGCTTTTGCTTGCTTTTTCCTTTCCTCTTGTTGATGTTGTTTTTGAATATATTGGTTGTATATTTTCTCTTCTTGTAATTTATTTGTCTTTTGAATATTCCCCACCATTTTCTTTCTTTTGTCAAAGTTTTCTTTCCCAAGTTTCCTTGGGATTTAGTTTTTGAACTTGAAAAACAAAATTAGACTTTTGGAGGTCGGCAGATGTACCCTTTTTGTGTAGTTGTGTAATGAAAAATGAATATCAAAATAAATAACTTAAGATTTTCTCACGTAGAACAATTTAACTCCAGTAATTTATTACTAAAATTTTATTCTGATATTAAACCAAGAGTTGCACTGGATTAGATAGAATGATTGACTAGTTATCCTATGATGCGGAATCCCGAGAACCAAACTCTGGGCGAGGATTTGAAATTTGAGCTATAATCCTCTCATTTCAATCTATTCTAGAGAGTATGCCAGTTTAATCCCTCCATACGTTTTAAGAAGGCGAAGTTTATGCATGCCTCGTGGTGAGGGAAAAGCAAAATGCCTTGGGATTCATACAGCCATATCCAAACTAGTTGGGATTGAGACATAGTAAAATGATTGATCTGAGTGTTTGCACATCTTCTCTTGGCTTGGATGAGGATCTTCATGTAAAGAATATAGGGCGGTGGCCAGTGATCTTTCACCTTTTGCGTAGATTATGTTTCCTTCTTGTCTAATGTATTCAACAATTTTACAATACTCTATCTTGGTTCTCATTTTTCATTGATCCTATGGTTTTTCGGCTCATCTACCACTCTTGCATTGCGCCATTGTCAGAAATAAATTCTACTGATTAGTAATGTGTTTCTTGTTTTTCAGGGACTGCATGTCGAGCCAGCAATTAGTGGACTTTATACATGAGCAGCTGAACTCGGTTAGTCTGATAGATGATGCTTCTGTATCATTAAGATTGGTTAATGCTCAAGTACAAAATTCAAATATGTGTGTTAGCTGTAGCATTGAGATCTTTGAGTTATGTGATATTCATCATATTCACTTTATGGAGGTGCCCAAGGCCAAAGATTATAAAGCCACTAAAAGTGAAACCTGTGGAAAACCTAGGTGAGGAAGTGCATTGTCCATAAAAAACGTTTTGCAACTCTGTTTCTTCCAAAATGACATCTTTTTGCCATGCATGCTTGCCATATTTTGGAACATGCTTATTTGCCACAAATGGAACTTCTTTGCTATTAAAAGAGTATAAGGCTGAAGTTGAACTAAGTATAAGAAGGCACATCCACTAATTTGCACCTCCGGTTTCAAAAAATATGAAAAATTAATAACACCCGTTGTGCATGAGTAATTGTTTGAATAAAGATAAAAAAAAACAGTCTTGTTTTAGATCTAGAGCAGTATATGCTTGCTTTCTGACCACTCATCTTTTTATGTAAGCAATCAAAATTTTGTTTGCTTAAATATGATTATTTGTTTGGAGCACTGCACTTTCCAAGAAAAGAAAAAGAAAAAAGAAAAGTTCCTCTTTCCTAAGACGTTTTCTGTTGGAAAAATGTGAATCACTCGCTGTATTTAGATACCAATGTAGGAAATCAATCGCCCCCCCTTCCCCCGTAATATGATAGCACTTAGGAATTCAAACTCTTTGAAGTAATAGTTACCTAGGAAATAAGCAAACTCCAATTATTTTCTTGGAAATAAGGAGGCTCATCATTTTTACCTTGAGTTCCTGATTTCCATGATTGCTCTGATTCTTAGCCTTAGATTTGTGATGACTCAACTGATTCAATGGGCAAATTGATCTTCACTCCTCTCATGTCTTTACTGGATTAACAAATGCAGCCAAGGCTGAGGCCAGCTAAATAGTCCCCAGCCAATTTGCATCATGTTATCTTTGATAATTTTCTGTTCTTTCTTCATCCAATAACGCGCTGCTATCTGGTTGAGAGTCTTTAACTATAATTGACCTAGGAGGTTTAACTTGTAGGAATCCAAGCTTTCAGCGATATGTGAAAGAGTTCTTGATCGGTGTTTGGCACCTACTGCTGGAGGTGAAGGATGCGATAATATGACCATGATTTTAGTACAACTCAAAAAACCTATTCTCTCGGGGGCTTCTCCACGCGATGAACCATCGGCTTCTCCAGGCGATGAACCATCGGCTTCTCCAGGTGATGAGCTGTCAGCTTTGAGTGAGAAACTCCCTGCTTCAGATGAAGTAAATGCTGAATCAAAACCAGCAGAATGTGGATCAAGTTCATAATCACAGATATCCTTTGTTGAGTCTGAAACTTCCTTCTCAAAGTATAATCTGCAGTTGTAAATGATTGTTTCTTTTGGGCTATGTGGATCAACTACTGAAAATTTTACTTTTATTGCTGCTGGTTGTATATGTTTTTTGTATTGTACTATAACTCTTTGGATGACATGTATAGATGCTAGACCAGATGTCTGACATGAAAACTAAAAACCGAACAATTTGTTATCCAAATTGATTACATCCTTTTTTTTCTTTTCACAAACTACACTCTCCCTTATCCCTTGGTTTTTGAAGTTGTTGACCTGTTGGATTGAAATGATAACTCCTTTCTATGTGTAATTTCAATACTTTATAAGGGCTGTCAAAGGCATTTTCATCCTTTTTAATAAAAAAATTATGTTCAGAAAAGTTGATAATAAGAATAAAAAATCATGATAGTATAATTTGCTATTTACTTTTTTGAGATGCTACGTCAATTCAATTAGATTACATCACACTTAAACTTAAATTTTTTCTTTCGAAATATATTCCAATTGAGTCCATAAGCAGAATATTTGTGATGAATATAAGAAAACAAGAAAAGTTTAAGCATAACAAAAATATATGACGGCAAGTAAAATCCTGGATTAAATTAGCTATTGGTCTGGATGTAAAGTGTAGCAAATTTAATATATTCATTAGAACTAGACAAGGTATAAAATACTTCGAACTAAAGGTATAAAATGCTTCAATTTTTATAGCTCTAATTATTATTGAAAGAATCTTCACTAATTCTAAAACTAAGTTTAGATTGTACTTAGATTAAAACTTTGATTTAATCTAGAATTTTACTTGATGTCATAATTTAATCAGATTACATCACGCTTGAACTTAGTTTTTCTTTTAAAAAACTATTCCAATTGAGTACATATATAATATATATTTGTGATGAATATAAGAAAAGAAGAAAAAATTAAGCATAACAAAAATATATGACGGCAAGTAAAACTCTAGATTAAATCAGCTATTGGTCTGGATGTATGATATAGAGTTAGTAAAATGTAGCAAATTTAATATATTCATTAAAACTAGACATGCATAAAATGCTTTGGGAAAAAGAGAGGTTTAAATGCTTTAATTTTCGTAACTCTAATTATTATTGAAAGAATCTTCACTAAATCATTTCTCTAGAGTTAATTGGAAAAATATTAGGAGGTCGTTAAATTCAAACTCGTGATACTTTAGTTTGGATTACAATATAGTAACGAAGCTCTCCTACGATGAATAGTTTATTAATTCACTAACATTTAGTAAATCTCTAGCATAAAATTTCAGTATTTTCTTTAGAAGGCACAAATAAGATGCAGTCGAGGCACAATTAGAAACTAAATTGCTTATTACCCAAAAAAAGAAAGAAACTAAATAGCCACAAATTTCTAGTGCATCCAAAAACAGTAAAAAATACACGTGGCAGAAAGGCTGATCAATAGCCCAACACTGAAGCCCATTAGTAGAGGCCCAACACTTGGTCCAAATACCTTATATAAAAACCGAAATACCCATTACTAAAAAACCCTAATAGCGAATAGAGGCTAAACAGCACTTCGTCATCTTCCCGGCCTCCTACGAGTTCAACCGAAGATGAAGGTTACTAAATAAACCCTAATTTTCTCCTTAATTCTGTTTATTAAGTATATTTAGCTGATTTTTTTTATTTGTTTTGTAGTTCAACATCGCAAATCCCACCACTGGATGCCAGAGGAAGCTCGAAATCGACGATGACCAGAAACTGTAAGACAATAGTGTCTGTCTTTTTTTTTTTTAATTTGTAAATCTAACTTTATGTGTTTGTGTGTGTATATAGTGTGTGTGTATCTGTTTTAATCTAGCTTAATTTATTATAGACATAATCAATCGGAAGTCATTCTCATTTTATGATACGTGTAAGTGCACGTGTGGGATTGAGAGAGAATTTTGTTTTAGAGAGCTGTTAGTTGTTGCAATGATAAACTGTTTATTATTGGAATAAAATGGACATAAATAGAGCTGAATGTTTATGATGTGTTAATATGGTCACAATGTTTATAGAGTATTAATATATGATCGAGCCCAGCTAGTTTGGAATTGAGGGCAGTCTCGTTGATTGATTCGTATTATTGCCAAATAAAAAGGATATTGTAAAACCTTTATTCCTATTTACTGTGATTAGTGAACCTCTGTTTACTTCTTTTAGTACTTTTGGTGGAGCTTATAATACTGTAAGATTTGTGTGAATTTATCTTTCTGTCTTTAAGACAAATTATTGAACATTGGAATGAATGAGCCTAGATGGAGCGGAATGAACGTTGTAGTGGATTGATATAGCTGACCTTAACTAATTTCTATACGAGCCATAGAGTAATCTCTGTGTTGTTATAATTATAATTTTTTACTTAGCATGTTAACTGTCAATTGATGGATTTATGTTGCAAACCTCTGTATTTTCTTGGAACATGTATGTCCAATCTTGTTTTATGACATTGACGCATTCATAATGTATTTTGAAGTAGCATTATCTAAGCTAAAGTCTTGAAATGCAGCCGAGCCTTCTTTGACAAAAGGATCTCCCAGGAAGTTAGCGGAGATGCCTTGGGAGATGTAGGTTTCTGTTCCTTTTACTCCGTAATTTTTGGGTTCAAATCATTAGATTTCATCAACTCTTTTTAAAATTGTTATTTTTCAATTTGCAGGAGTTCAAGGGTTACGTTTTCAAGATTATGGGAGGATGTGACAAGCAAGGTTTTCCAATGAAGCAAGGAGTGTTAACTCCTGGCCGTGTTCGTCTTTTGCTTTACCGAGGTAGGTTTAGAATGATCTTGATGGGCACACCTAAATTGTTTTTTGCATCAAAAGCTATGATTTTAAGATTCTTTTTAAAAGCTGTTATTAGAAGTACCTAAACATTTACACACGAAACAGGTACCCCTTGCTTCCGTGGTTATGGTAGGCGAAACGGAGAGCGCAGAAGGAAGTCTGTCCGTGGATGCATTGTCAGTCCTGATCTTTCTGTTTTGAATCTGGTTATTGTTAAGAAGGGAGAGAAAGATCTGCCTGGGCTGACCGACACTGAAAAACCAAGGATGAGAGGACCCAAGAGGGCTTCTAAGATTAGAAAGCTCTTCAATCTTTCGAAGGAAGATGATGTCAGGAAGTATGTTAACACATACCGTAGAAATTTCACAACCAAAACTGGTAAGTTCTTTACTCTTATTGCTACTTGTCATTAGTTATTTATGCATTTATTTATGTTTGTGTCTGCTGCCTGATGAAGTGGAAATCTTAAACTTACCTAAAATGTTATTATTATGCTCTGTTGGGACAGGGAAAAAGGCGAGCAAAGCTCCTAAGATTCAAAGGTTAGTGACACCCTTGACTTTGCAAAGAAAGAGAGCTAGAATTGCTGACAAGAAGAAGAGAATTGCCAAGGCTAAGTCGGAAGCAGCTGAATACCAGAAGCTTCTTGCTACTAGGTTGAAGGAGCAAAGAGAAAGGCGTAGTGAGAGTTTGGCCAAGAAGAGGTCTAGACTCTCTGCAGTTTCTAAGCCATCAATTGCTGCTTAAGATCAGTGAGATCATAAGAGGGAAACAAGGATCAGTGAGATCTAATTCCTGCTATTTTTGTATCTGGCTCGTTTAGTTATTGCTTGGATGTCTTATATGCTTTTGGTGGTTTCTAGTGTTCTGATATGATGACTTTCATCTGATAGGTTTTCACATACAATTATCTTTCAGCTTTCAGATTTTGGTTACTTTGTCTCTGATCTATCTATATACAACGATCTGCTGTTTTATGTTTTTCTCGGGATTGATCAGTTCTTTTAGGTTACTCTTCTGACGTAAATCTGCTCTCAGCAGTCTTCTACAATCTGTTGAGGTTTGATCACTTAAAAAAATTAGAATCGTAGGCATGAGATGTCTTCACCATCTGAATCTCGAGAGGTGCAATTGTCGTTCTTCTATTGAATGGCTAAATTCTTCAGACAAAGCTGTTGAGCTATCTTGAACACCATGTAATACTAAAATTAAGTATACTAAGAATGTTTGCTGTCATATATGGTTGGTAATAATCATAGCGAAAGGCAATTAGAAATGACAGATTTGAAAGTATACTAAAATGAGAATCGAGGAGATGCACAATATATTTTCACTTGAAATAAATTAAAGTTTGAACTAAATCTCGCTCTAACTTCCTATAGCTATCATATTTACTTCCTATAGCTAATATTTTGTTGCTACCGGACTGTATTCGTTGTTTACTTCCTATAGCTAATATTTTGTTGCTACCGGACTGTATTCGTTGTATTTGCGCTACTGTATTTATGAATACACTTACGGAAATTCGCCTAATAAGTTGGGAGCTTAATAACGGAAAGAGTATCAATTAGTGTGTAGCACTCCTAATTTAACTCAACAAAATTAAATTCTACCAAATTTCGTTGCTATCGGACTGTGTTCGTTGTATTCGCCTACTGTATTTATGAATACAGTCGTGGAATTTGCCTAATAAGTAGAGAGTCCAGCTGTTTAATAACAGAAAGAGGATCAATTAGCGTGTATCACTCCTAATTTAACTAACAAAATCAAATTCTACAAAAATTCGTTGTTACTGTACTATATTTCCTGAATTCACGCGACTGTATTTACAAATATAGTGAGGTAATTCGCCTAAAAAATCGGAATTATAGTTGTTTAATTCTGTATTCCATGTATCGTAGGAATGTATTTATAAATACAGTGAGGTAATATACCTAAAAATAGTAATTAAGGGTTTTTAATAATGGAAAGCGCAATATTGAATTGTATTCAATTTCACTATATTGAATTCAATTGTATACAAAAACAACAAAAATCAAGAAATAGGGTGTATACCATTCTATACAATTCGACTGTATACATTGTATTCAATTTACCGATATCATTATTCACTATTTTACATTGTATTCAATTTACTGTATTCAATTCGACTGTATACAAACAACAAAAAATCACAAGAAACAGTGATATTCGTCTATATTCAAAAAATACAGACCTTCAGAATACATAAAAGACAAGCGAAAAAATAATGTATTTATACAAAAAATACTATGTATTTGAGTGGATTTGTACATAATACAACGTATTTATATCATTGTATGTGACTCAATAGCAAAGAAGAGAAGAAAGTTAATAGTGATATGCAACTGTATTAAAAAAATACAAACATTTGGAATACATAAAATACCGGCGAAAAATTA